ATGTAAAATCAAATGAGAGCAAGACTTGGCCTTAAGTGAATGCTTAAACAATGGAAATGAGCCCATTAACATGCTGTTGGGCAAAGCTTGTGTTGATCATTATGTTGGCTAATTCAAGAGATGCACTGTGGTCAAAAAGAGACTAAGTGTGAGGGTGGTTATGCTCTTTCCATCTATGCCAATTTAGATTATTATTTAACACTATCTAATGGTTATAATTCAAATTACTTTCCCCCCCCAGATCTTCTTTTTAAAATAAAATGGTGATTTTTGTTCCTTGGTGTGGTTTCACTGGTATTGCACAGGCTTCTGCTCTAGTCAAGCATGTTGTTTTGCTGATTCAGGCCTTGGGAATGCTGCATCATCAACAGTTGCTTTCCAGTGTGTCCCTGCAGATAATAAGATTTTTTTCCCTCTATGGGTTGGATCCAACCAGCTTTTCCGCCACTAGAAATGGGAGGAGGGAATCCCCTTTGACCACTAAAAAGGCTCTGCTGATTATTCTAGACCTGACTATGTAGGATGGTGACTCTAATAAGGAGGGAAATTGGGCAAGATTGAGGCAAAAAGCTGGCAGGATCTAACCCCATGAGTATACAGTAGTGTCTAATAGAAAATGGTCTGATACGTTTTGTCAAACATTTAATTCTTTCTGTAAAGGAGTAATGGTCTTATAAGCAACACAACACTACCCTACAAATCGTTTCTGGTGAAATAAGAATACTCATCAGTTTAAAACTACACTTCTCTCATTTTTTAAAAAATATAGTACTAAGGATTTTAATTTTTTTAAAGGTACTAGGATTTGTATAAATGGCTACAATCCATGATATTTATGTTTGAGTGTAGTAATGTGTCTGATTTTGCTACTGTTAAGGGTGCAGACTATTCATACTGAAGCCAGTGAGAAACTTCGCACTGAATTTAGCAGTTATAAATATCACCACAAGTCAGAAGTTAAATTCTGATTGATTTTAATGGTGTCACTTGAGACAAATATTTACATTCTCACTGGATTGTTTAAATATATCAATTTACCCAGGAGGCATTTAGCCAACAGCTTACTCTGGTCAGTAAAATATCTCTTCATTAGAGTTTAAGTGGCAAACTTTTTCATTGAAAATGCAGCTCAAAGTTGTAATGACAAGAAGGAATGAAACCTTTAAAAAAATAAAATACAAGAAATAAGCCGTCAAGACTTCTTTCATTGTATAAACTAGGGTCAGTATGCTTGCACTCAAGGTATGTCCTTTTTTGTATGTTAGGAAATAATGCTTTCTGCTATTGTTGCTACAATTCACTGTTAAAAGATGTGAATATGCTGTAATGTTGATTGCTAGATTATTTTGGGAAATATGCTAGCATATCATAGTTACATAAACACTTGTACGTTAAAAGAAAGACATGTTTATAACATGCTTGTATGAGCTTAGGATGGGAACAGCTTACATAAACACTTGTACGTTAAAAGAAAGGCATGTTTATAACCGTATGAGCTTAGGATGGGAACAGTGAACCTTGGTGCTGAACAGTTCCCTCATTCCTGATTAACATAACAAACTGGGGACATGATAATGGTAAAGTGAGTTGCATCTGTATGAAACCACATCTATCTGAGAACAAAATGGCTCTGCTAAAACTGTGGGAGATCGCTGATCCATGTAACCTGCTATAGTTATGTTTTTGAACTACTCAGTTCTAATTCTGTTCAATCGGTTGTCTGGTAAAAGACTTATGGCCATGGTCAAAATGTATCATAGTGCAGGAGCACAAGTGATGAGAGAAACTAACTTTTTTAAAAAATGATTCTGAAGCTTGTTTGAGTCATACAAGCAAGCTTAATATACCCCTCTTTTCCTTTCTCTCTCTGTCTTTCTCACAGCACCTTTATTCTCCTGACATACTGATTTTGAGAGTCATTCCTTCCTCCTAGGTAGTTCTGGCATTTTGATATGTGGGGAGCATTATCTCTAACTAAGAACTCATGGTAGTTTCACCAGCTACAGTTGGCAGCAGTTCTTCAGATTCTTAGATGGAGGTCTTTCACATCTCCTGCTACTTGATTCTTTTAACTGGAAATGTCAGGAATCAAACCTGAGACCTTCTGCATGCAAGGCAAATGTTTTACCATTTAGTCATGGCCAAGTAACAGTAAAGCCAGTGTAGAACTGGTCTTAATGCACAGTATGCACTCTCGCCTTCATTCACTTCCCCCTCTTACATTCCTCTTCATATTTCTGCTCCTTTGCAAAAATAAATGCTGACAGATTGATTTGCAAAAGAAGAACAGCCTGCTGTTTTTTTACAAAATGCACTGAGACATAAAATTCCACCAAGATATATTTTAAACATCACTAATACAGTCATTAATACTGAGGCCTGGACACAGAGTTTAAGCTATATGTGGGATATCTGTATGCATGCAGTTCTGACTAATACAGCCATTCATTTTAATACTTAATCCATCATCTTGCTTCCTATGGTCTTCATTCTAATATTTTATATTTATTCTTTTTATAGATTTCTGCTTGTCATGTTGTTAATCTAACAGACACATGTGTCAAAGTTAATAAAGATATTAAGCTCAAATGCTCAGGTGATGTAATTCAGCAGAAGCTCGGTTTTAGCCAGATTCTCTGGGCCAGAGTAAACATCACAATTTTTAAAGAGTTATGTCCAGATTCCCTGGACCCAGCTTGTGTTCCCTGCAGCCACACAGCAGCTTTGGGGAACAGCTCACTTAAAAAGGAGAGCCCAAAGGGGCTTGGACCAGGGCCCCAGGGGTGCTCCCGCCTCCCCCAAGCCATTTTCCCATGCAAAAAAACATGCTGGGGAGAAGTAATTTCCCTGATTTTGTTGCTCTGTGTGGAGTATCTGTGCATAAGTATCTGTTCAGACTCTCCTATTTTTCAGAACCTTGACCCAACTCTTTAAAAAGTAATGCTTAGTTTGGCCCAACACAAAACCACTGAAGTTATATCCTCATATCTGTGGCCCAAGGAATTGAGCCATTAACCTCTAAGTGCCTTCAAGAAGGACACAAATAATTCCCTTATGCTGAAGTTTTCCAGTTAAAATAATTCTGTAACTTTAGCATGACAGAAAAATGTGTACATAATTCTCCCCTTGTATTAACAACCATCAGTGTTGCTGCCAGATAATTTCATAAACTAATACTAATCTTTGTTAAATTTGGTAAAATTAAATGATACATATCAGAGTACGTAGTATTAATGTAAACCCAAGAAACACAAATCATTTATTATTGCTGTCTGCCCATTAACTAGGGTTGCCAGGTTCCAGGTGGGGCCTGAGGATCTCCTGCTTTTACAACTGATCTCCAGCTGACAGAGATCAGTTCCCCTGGAGAAAATGGCTGCTCTGAAAGGTGGACTCAGTGGCATTGTACCATGCTGAGGCCCCTCCCCTCTCCAAACCCCGCCCTCTCCTGAATCCACCCCCCAAGTCTCCAGGTATTTTCCAACCCAGACCTGGCATTAACTTCACTGAGCTCCATCCCTTGACCCCACTGTGGAAAGGTGAGCCTTGGCCTGGGGTCTGCCCCTCTGTGGGGCTTCACCCCTGCCAGATTTGTGTCTTCCAAGAACTGGCAACTTTGATTAGGCCTGGTGTACTCATGCAACAGTGCCGTAGTCTTCAGTGGTAGACAGCACTGTAGCACATTACTGGTTTTTTAATGCTGTCCCAGGTAAAAGCTCCCTGCAAGTAAAAACACTAGCACATCAAGAAGAAAAGTTACAGCTCAGCCTGCTCCTGTTGTGCTAGCTTTCTATTTGAAGAGAGGTTGTTTTTTAAAAAAAACCCACACATTAGGAGCCTTTTAAAATGCCTCTATTTGCATTGTGAAGTAGGATCGCTGCCCTCCAGATGGGGAGTTCTCCAGGAATTATAACTGATTTCCAGACTACAGAGATCAGTTTCCCAGGAGAAAATGGCAGATTTATGGAATTATATTCCCATTGAGCTCTTTCCCCAAGCTGCTCCCCTAAATCTCCAGGAATTTCCCAAACTGGAGTTTGCAACTCTTGCCCTGAAGCAGGGGTACCGGAAGTGTGTCCTCCCCACAGCCGGCGGCGACCTCCAGCGGGCACCAGCAGGGAGCTCCAGGCCCTGCCCTCCCGCACCTCCCCCGGGGGGATGGCGTCCCCCCGCGTCCCCCCCCAAATGACCCCTGCCCTGAAGTGTTTTTGTCTATTCTTATCACCTGGATGTTTTACCACCTCATTTCCACATCTCACTGTATATATAGACTAGGCACATTACTACAAATATAGTTGCACTGCTCCCCTCCCCTCAGATATAATGCCTTTAGTGTATCTGGTGTGAGATTTCACACACATACCTTAATATCAACCACAGCTCTGCTAGATTTTTTTTAAAATTCTGAATTGTGTTCTTCAGTTCTGGCGACTTGCCAAGAGGAGAAAATTTAGGCCTAGTCTGTAGAATTCTGCTGTGCAGAAGGACAGACGGTGGTTAAAATCGCTATGGTACATAATATTGTTTATTCTAAAATTAATTTCTTAATTTACTGTTGATCCATCGGAACATTTGGACAGCAGGCCATACTCTATCATTTTCTCTGCATATTCCCAGATAAATTTAGAAGTCATAAAGATATCAATTTGTATGTATTTTTCATTTCGTTTATTTAGTGCTTAGAAGGAAAATTAAAAACAGATTGTTTAAATTTAATTTAATAAAATTAAACAGCATATGCAGGTTTCCTGCTGTACACAGACAGGACTAGAGTACTATGAATACGTTTACCCCCCACACACAACATTGTTAGAAGAAAATAAACAAAAGCGAGAGAATAAGAACCCTCTGGTGCTTTTCATGCTTTGATTTCATTCACAGTTAAAACAACATACTGCTCTATATTACCAATATTAAGTTGAAGAGTGCTCTCCTTTTGAGTGACAGATACTTACAGGAGGAAAAAAACCACACCTTCTTTTGTGGGATTTTATTTTCAGAAACTAAACGCAACCAGCTCATCTGAAGGCAGTACTGTTGATATTGCCCCACCAGGAGAGGGTGAACAGGCAGAGATTGAACCTGAAGAGGCTCTTGAACCAGAAGCCTGTTTTACAGAAGGTAACAGGAGGGACAGACAAGACCTGCATTTAAGCAATTATGTATTATATCAGATGCTACAGACCAGCCTGGGGCCAAGCTTCATGTTACTTCCTGATCTTTTTTGCCTGAAAGCCGCTTCAGAGGTGGTCCTCCAGAACAGGGGATCAATGTGGGGGAGAAACAGTTTAAGCTTTTGTTTTCCTACCACGTGTCTGCTCAAATTCTTTTCCTGTCCCATCCGACTGTAGCTCCCAGTTGAGAAATACCTAGAGATTTTGAGAGTGAAGCCTGAGGAGGGCAGGGTTTGGGGAACGGAGGGACTCCCGTGGGGTATAATGGCCATAGAGTCCACCTTCCAAAGTGGCCATTTTCTCCAGGTGAGCAGATCCCAGTCGCCTGGAGATCAGTTGTAATCCCACGAGATCTCCAGCCACCACCTGCAGGCTGGCAACCCTACCTTGGCCAACCCCCATCTTCTGTGGCTCTCATGGAGAACAATGAGTGGGAAAGTTGCATGGGGTAGTATTTTTGAGCTCATGTGTGGTAACTAGTTAAACAGCTCCTGCTTCATTGCTCTTCTGCTTCAGATAGTAAAGTAACCCTTCAACACTTCTTGTCTGAGTTAAAAACGAACAACCCCCCCTCAGAATGTTGGGGAAACCCACTCTTTCACACATGATGTAGTTTGGCGCAAATTAGGAATTAAGACTTGGATACAAAATTCTACTTTTAGCCACACCCTGTGAGCTGGCCTGTAGCTACAGTGGGGCTGCTGGGGGCTCTGTACCCTTCCTTAAAGGGCCAGCCCCACAAGACTGGGGGGCTCACACATGGGCCCTGGCTTCTTCTCAAAAGCACTTAAAAGGATCCTTTAAATTATTTGAGAAGAAGTGGGGGATGGTGTGGGCCCCCTCCCTCCCTCCTGCAAGATTTATAGGGCCCTCCAGCTGATCGGCGGGCCACGTGCTCCCTGTCGATCAGCTGAAGGGCCCTTTAAATCTTGCAGGAGGGGAGGGAGAGGGGGTAGCCACCACTTGTCAGGCTTGGGGGCAGATTGGAGCTGACATAAAAATAATGGCAGCCACAGCAGAAAAATGTTTGCCCCACAAGCCACAAAATCCTGGCTACAGGCCTGCCATTTTGGTGTAGTGCCAGTTTGGTGTAGTGGTAAAGTGCGCGGACTCTAATCTGGGAGAACCGGGTTTGATTCCCCACTTTTCCACTTGCACCTGGCTGGATGACCTTGGGCAAGCCATAACTCTGGCACAGCTGTTCTTGAAAAAGAGCAGTTTCTGTCAAGAGTTCTCTCAGCCCCACCTACTTCACAGGGTGTCTGTTGTAGGGAGGGGAAGGGAAAGGAGTTTGTAAGCTGCTCTGAGACTCCTTTGGGTAGTGAAGGGCAGGGTATAAATCCAATCTCTTCTTCTTCTTTTGCCTGTGAGATTTATGACTTTTGATTTGATTTGATTTCGAATAGCAGACATACCTGCTGTATTGTGAAAGGCTTTTGAAAACCACCTTAGTTCCAAAAACAATTTTTGCTGTGTGGCATGAGGATGACTGGGAAAGGATGAGAATGATTTTTTGAAAAATGTAGTACCCCAGACCTGTTTGTTTTTTTGCTTTTTTAATGGAGTTCAGTCTTCCCTTCTTGCCATTTACCTGTTCAGTCCTATCCCCCCACTGTCTTATCTCAACAGAGAGGGTTCCCGTGTAGATCAATTTTGTCTCTCCCTTTCTCCAAGTACCTCTGAGCAGCATACATCATTCTCCTTCACCATTTTATCCTCACAATAACCCTGTGAGGCAGGTTAGGTTGAGAATGTGGGACTAGTTTAAGGTCACCCAGCAAACTTCATGATGAGGCTGCCAACTCTGGGTTGGAAAATTCCCGAAGATTTTGGGGATAGAACCTGGACAGAGCAGGGTTTGGGGAAGGGATGGACCTTAGCAGAGTATAATGCCATAGAATTTACCCTCCAAAGTAGCCATTTTCTCTAGGGGAATTAATATCTGTAGTTAGGACATCATTTGTAATTCCAGGAGATCCCCAGGCTCCACCTGGAGGGTGGCAGCCCTACTTTATGACTATGTGGTAATTTGAATCTGGATCTCCCAGGTCTTCGTTTGGTACTCTACCTACTATACCATACTGACTGTCGGTAATTCCCTCTAAGTAAGCTCTTCTGGACTCCCTGTATGGGACCTTTGAAGGAAAGGCAAGATAAAAATATCAAAGGGAAACAAAATATTATTTCATTATTTAACCATCTGTTGTCATCCTCAACAGGTTGTGTGCAGAAGTGTTCATGTTGTCAAGTAAGTATAGAAGATGGCAAAGGAAAGTTCTGGTGGAATTTTAGGAAAACCTGCTACAGCATAGTTGAACACAACTGGTTTGAGACGTTCATTGTGTTCATGATTCTTCTCAGCAGTGGTGCTCTGGTGAGCAAAACAAAAACTTTTTAACACTTTCTGAAAAATTTTTACATCATCAAAGATTTTTAAATGTACATTGTGTTAGATACGATAGCTAGCATATGCTATATTTCCAATTTTGAAAATGTTTTGCTTAACAGTTATACAGACATTCTAGTAATGGGCCGTTCCAACAGTCCATAAGAATAGTACATGTGCTGGGGAGGGGGGGAATCAGAAAATGGAACATTTTAGCTCTATTTGTAATTCTTTGGTAATATGTTAGCATGAAATGAAGCAAAAGTGAATTTGTAAATCTGTCTGCACTTTAAAAATATCATTTTAATATGTGAATTTGGAATGCAGTGATTCTCTCCCCTCCCCCCCACAGGCTTTTGAAGACATCTATATTGAACAGCGCAAGACTATTAAGACCATGCTGGAGTATGCAGACAAGGTCTTCACATACATCTTCATCCTAGAAATGCTTCTGAAGTGGGTGGCCTACGGTTTTCAAATATATTTCACTAATGCCTGGTGCTGGCTGGATTTCCTCATTGTCGATGTAAGCACTTGAAACCAATGCTTTGTTTTTGTCGTCCCCCTGCCCGCTTTTTGTAGATTTTACCAGGGGACAAAAATTTGATAATATTAAGCATCTTTCAAATAAATATAGTCTGGCCAATAGAATTAAGCATAAATAGAATGGGAAATCATTATTTTGCAAACCGTGTTCCTTCTTATAATCATGGATGGCTTCAAGAGGGAATTGGATAAACATATGGAGCAAAGGTCCATCAGTGGCTATTAGCCACAAGGTATAGATAGGAACTCTCGGTCTGGGGCAAGGGGTACTCTGCATTCTTGGTGCTTGGGGGGAGGCAACAGTGGGAGGGCTTCTAGTGTCCCGGCCCCACTGGTGGACCTCCTGATGGTGCCTGGTATATTTTGGCCACTGTGTGCAGAGTGTTGGACTGGATAGGCCATTGGCCTGATCTAACATTGGCTTCCCTTATGTTCTTATGTTCTCATGTGATGACAACGGCACTGACATGAACTATTATGACCAGAATAGAAATGATATGCAGTGCACTCCTTCAGTGAGCTCCAGCTGGCTGTTCCACCTCCAGGAATTGTACAGTCCTTCTCTGCCTATGTGAAGACCATCCCCTGCACATGAAAACCTAGAACACTACTTCTAGGTCAAAAGGGATCCTTTAGTCACTGGCTGTATTACTTTAATCTACACATCAGAGCCAGTTCCAGATCCCCTCATGCTTTCCTTTCCATCCCCACACCGGCACTTTCACTTTCCAAAAATAAAAGGCTGGAAGAGAACATTTATTTATTTAATTAATTTATACCCTGCCCTCCCCGCTGAGGCAAGCTTAGGGCGGCTTACATAACAGTAAATACATAAATAACAATTAAATTACCATAAACCAAATTCAGTTATATGAATGTTATATTTAAGCATGTGTGTTCTATGGCTTGTTGCCATAATAAATGACTGACTGACTGACTGACTACCATAAACCATCTAAAAACAGTTCATTATAAAACAGTACAGTATCATAAAATGCTAGCAATGTTGTGTATGTCTTGCTGGTTTACCATAATGGTGCCTTTTATGGTAGGAAAAACCATCAGGGCTTTCACAGCTTGTCTTTCAAATCTAGATTTTCTCTAATGTAAGAATTTGTTGAGGAGGGGAAATCCCATTTCTATGGCCCCACTCCTTTTCTTATTACTGTGGATATGCTTCTCTCTCCGTTGCCTACCCACCCAGTTGCCTGTGTGGTAGGAGCCAGGAGCCAGCCCAAGAAAGAGAAGAAAAGGCAGGGGGATGCCAAAAGGTATTTCCCCCCAGTGTTGGGTAGAGTCCCAACATGGGGGGAAAAACCTACCCCCAGGAGAGGCATTAGAGTCATCTGAGAACTCCCAGCTACTCCACCAGAATGGGTGGCCAGGGAACAGAATTAAAGCCAGAAACACCAATGAGATGTGTCTTAGAGCAATGGAAAAGAGATACTTTGGACAGCATGGCCAGGCTATCTAAAGCATGCTTGCTTAAATTATGCCAAGAAATCTGGCCAGAATTTAGACCCCTCTTTAAGGTGGGCAGGGGAAGGGTCCTTTTAACCCTCTGAATTCCACACCTGTTTTCCTCTGCCTTTTGCCATGTGCCCAGTCATCTCCCCCCACATCAGAACCTGCCCCAGTCTCACTGCAAGCCAGCATAGTGTTGTAGTAGTTAGAGTGTTGGACTAGGATGTGGGAGAACCGGGCTTGAATTCTGACTCTGGCATGTAAGCGTACTGAGTGATCTTTGGCAAATCAGACATTCTCAGCCTAACCTACCTCACAGAGTTGCTATGAGGTTAAAATGGGAGAGAGGAGAGTGATGCAAGCTGTTTTGGGTCCCCATTGGGGTAGAATATAGATGAGTAAATCATACATTTCCCCCTTTTTCATCCTCCTGCTATTTCTTCTTCCCTGACTTAAATCCTGCCTTTTTATGTCTTTGCATGGCATCTTGGGTTGCTAGGCAACCCAAGACATTAGTTTGAGTATGTGTGATCTCTCTTTATATTTAGAAATCTCTGGCAACTTTTCAGGGTTGTTAACCCCCCATAATTTTTTTTTTTAGATTTGCTGAAAACCCGGGGGACGGAGGACACAATTCTGGGGCCCCTTGCTATTCTGGGGGCCCATAGAGCTAAACAAGTCACATTACTTCTTTCCATATGATTTGGGGGTTGGGTCTGGGTGATGTGAGGGGTGTCCAGAGCAAATCTTTGTCTGTCGGCCACTGACGACTCTTGGTAGCCCTGCCTGAAAGATACCCCTTGCAGAGTTTTTGATCTGCATGGGTGAGCCTTCCCCCACAACCAATAGATATGTATCTTTATGAGACACTTACCTTAAAGAATCAGGTATGGCTAATTAAAAATAACAATATACGTATAGTTATTGAAGTCTTATGAAGTTTTGCACTTGTTGTGTTGCTGTGATCCATACATCCGGCCAGTAAGGTATGCCAGTTTTATTGTCCCAACATTGCCGCTTGGAGGAACAGAGACTGATAGCAAATGGCTTGCATAAGACCTCCATAAGTGTCATTGCTTGGCAAGGCACTATTTGAACCATTCATTACTGCTGTCTTAGCCCCTATACCACACTAGGCCTAACTGATCAATAGTTTTAAATGTATTTCACATAGGCTCAACCCTCTGCTTCATAAATACAGAATGTGAACAGATGTGAACATGCTAGAGTCACAAAAGTCGCCCATAGTTAACACACTGCAGATATTTACAAGGTAACCTACTCTCATGTGATTCCTTTTTCTTTGTCTAACAATGCTGTTTAGGAGAGGATAGTTTGGAGGACATTAATCCATAAGGTTGCCATAAATTGGAAGCAACTTGACGGCACTTAACACGCACACACACATACACAATTCCAACACTGTGTTTGTCCAAAGCAAATCATACTGTAAATATTAATGAGCACAACTGGGACAAATCTTTGCCAGATTTGTAAAGTTTATATAGGACTTTGCATTATTTGGCTTTGCTGTATAACTCTACAAGACCCCAAGGCTTGAGCCACTGATTCTCCTCCTCTTTGTTGTTGTCAATTTATATCCTGCTTTCCCCACTGATGTGGGGGAGATATATAGTCCTAAAACAGAGAGACAGCACTATGGATAATAAATAGAAATGTTCTCTGAATATTGTCATTGTAACGATTCCTTGTTTTTGTGTGTGTGTGTCTCTTTAAAAGTTTGGTTGCATGGCTGTAGTAGATAGACTAGCGTGGTTGAGAGAGGCAAGGGTGGTATGATTGGTGGTTGACAGAGAGGGGGTGGGGTTTTGGAAGTGAATCTGGTTGGATGAGTATGTGAGTCAGTCAGTAGTTTCAGTTAGATGTTGACAGTTGATGTTCAGTTAGTTAGAGTTAGACAAGCAGTTCTGTGTTGAAGCAGTTATAAACTGACAGCTGCGGTGGTTCAGTGAGACAGAGAGAGAAAGTTGAAAGTTGAATGTATAGGAAACAGTAAAGTAACGTTTAAGTGACCAACTGTTAAAGGAAAGTCTGAGGGTCATAACAAATGGGAGAGAAACAGGGAACACATATGGCATTGAGATAAACAGGTGTTACAAAGTTACATGAAAAGATCCCTGTCAGTGAGGGAGAAGATTGTGTGTGATACCAAAGCAATTGTTCATCATTTACACATTACTAGTTACATTGTACCACCCTCTTATTTAGTATTTGTTTCAATAAATCCTCTTTTATCAACGTTTATACCAGCTCTGAATGACATACTTCCCAGGACCACATAGTTCCTCGTGAGCCTTGAACTCGGTCTACCAAACCAGTAAGCAAAAGTAAAAGCATAAAGGTTTGGAAATCCTTAAAATTTCCTGGTGGCAGCAGAATCTACCCAGTAAAGAAAAATAAAGTGAACTTTTAAAGTGAAACTAGTCCTCCCTAATAAGGAGGACGTCACAGTCATTGTTCGCCAATATTAAGCATTTAGCTTATTCTCTTTCTATAATTAAAGAAACTTAACACTCTTGTATTTAGTATCTACCTCTCTATAGCTCAGCTTTATTGCTGTATACCTTTAAGATAAAAAGTCAGCGGGTCAAGCCTTCAGAAATTCTTTACAGATGATGTTTATTTTAGAACTGGAGGTCTCTTTGTTCTACAAAGTATTCTACAAATACTAGGATTTAGCTCTCCACACGATTATGTAGTATAGAGATCCTTTAGAGACTAGTATGCACTAAAGCAGAATTGTTTTACTAGGATTACATATCTTCTTGTAACAGATTTTATCTGTTCCTCAGCCATTTTGATTTGTTGTTTGGTGTGTTAGTTGCAGGTTTGTTTTAAACTACTTTGATTAAAAATTTGTAGGCACTACTGTGAAAATTGACATTTCACCTCTTGCATTTTGCTTTGTGTATTTGTTAGTGGGATGAAGTAAGTTTTGTGCTTCCCAGGGAGCAAAACTGGTTAATTCTCCATCAGTTATCTAGGAAATAAAACTTACCCAAGCTGGATGTACCATTAATGATAGGGCATATATTAAATTATTCAATCTCTATCAGGTGGCTAGTCTACATTTAAGCATAGTGAATGCATATAAGGTATTATTGTAAAGGTGTTTCCAGCAACAACATGTACAGAACTCTAGCTCATTCATACAGTTATCATTTTTAAAATGTTAGCTAATAAGAACTTCTGAAATTAAGGCTGGATTCCTGGCTGGATTTTTGTTTGTTTTATTTTTAGCTAAATTCTGTGTTAACTGGAATACTGAAAATAACTTGAAGAAGAAGAAGAAAATTACATGGCTGGTAGATGATCTGCCCTGTTTTTTAAAAACTGAATAAAGACCCTACAGTGTTTCTCCAGTTCTGAAATTAAGGCTGGATTCCTGGCTGGATTTTTGTTTGTTTTATTTTTAGCTAAATTCTGTGTTAACTGGAATACTGAAAATAACTTGAAGAAGAAGAAAATTACATGGCTGGTAGATAATCTGCCCTG